GGTGCAGCCAGAAGCTGAGAAAATACAGCAGAAATAGTGTGGAGAGGAAGGCAGAATACCTTGTACTTGTTGTTCTGGCTGTGTTTATCCTTTGCTGGCTGCCCTACCAGATCCTGATCTTCTTGGACACCTTGTATTACTATAACATCATCTCTGGATGTACATGGGTGCATGTGTTGGACATTAGCAACCAGTTAACTACTTACCTTGGGTACAGTAACAGCTCGTTGAATCCTTTTCTGTATGTGATTGTGGGGAAGCACTTCAAGCGAAGGGCAAGGGAAGTGTGTAGGCTAGTACTGTGCAGGAAACAGCAGAGGAGGAAGTCTGGTCAGTCCAGTGCCAATCTCAGCTCAACAAAACAAAGTGAGAGTACTAGAGTCTAAATCTTATCTACACATAAAAGGAATGTTTTGACTGGAAACAGCTGTTAAATAATTGAGTTTAATCAGCAGGGAATTGGTGCCTTTTGTAAACAACTACAACCATTTAAAGATATAATTTGACATTTTGGGAAAAAGACATATTCTTTTTCTTAGGGAGAGTTAAATGAGTGGGTCAATCCATGCAAAACACAAAAATTAGTTTGACATGTGACCCTTCATTGTTGTACAGTTAAACAAACAAGACAAAACCACATGGTACAGGACCAGATGAGTGTGGTATCAGTCTTTTCATTTACTGTAATTTTTGACAAGAAAAGGAATAAGCATATTTTCCAAAATGTTGAACCTTTGTAATATGCTGTGATGCAAAACAACTTCAGACTGTCTTTATTTAGATTTTGAGACAGTGTACTCTAGTGTTGTGAAAAGGAAATTTGAGATGTACAGAAAGATCATAATAGGAAAATGTTAACCAATTTACTGTGTGTGAAATATACACAGCTCTGTTGTTTTGTTTGGGATAAATTTATCTGTATAACCCTGACGATAATGTTTTTATTATACTGTTGGCTATTGTGTCAGTCTTGTCCTTGATTCCATATTTCACAATTGCAAACAGCAGCTTTGTTTCAGGGCAGTTCTGCTTCTGTCAGTTTTGCTGACAAAGTTTAATTTAATGTTGTTCCTGGCTCTAACTTCTGCAAATATAACAAAAAAAAACAAAAAAAACAAAAACAAAAAACTAAGTAAACAAATTATTGCTAAGCATTTGAATTTCAGAAGACAAAGAATCCATGATGACTTTTAAAACTAGTCTCAGTGTTATTTAAGACATCTCACAATGAATGAGTGTTACTGTTTTCAATAAAGCATCATCTATGACTATTAGAGTGATGGTGTGTCTTAGTTTTTATAAGAAACATGGTTCATATACTGGATGATAATGGAGTAGTTTCCCTTTCAGAATGTCTTACTGTGTTGCATAATTCAAATGTGTTATCATTTTCACCATAAAAGGGCTGCTACAGCCTCAGACTTATATTTAGATAACACTTCCCATTGCAGACTGACAAAAAATACTGTTTATACTGTATGATACATTCTGTCCAGTTTTGACTGTTAATTGGTCTTAAGTCATATGTAGGATTGCGTGATATGGTTTGATATGTATAAACAGGCAATAGCCATGTTCATCAGTTACATCAGATTGGCAGTTACCACATTTATATGCACATTTACAGCTGCATGTAATACAATGTGTTCGTTTTCTTTGCCCTTGAGGAATGTTGTTATGTTAGTATAACAGTGTCAACTTTATTTTTCAAATGGTAAAGTAATAATTTGTATTCATTGTAATAATTGAGTGAGCTGGATATTGTATGTGGAGTGCCTCAGGGTTCTGTTTTGGGACCTAAATTATTTATATTATACATTAACGATATATGCAAGGTTTCTGATTTAGTGAAAGTGGTTTTGTTTGCTGATGACACTACCATATGGGCATCGGGTGAAAACCTACAGCAACTCTCTGGATGGGTTACACAGGAACTTGAGAAGATAAAGAAATGGTGTGACAGTAATATAGTATCTCTGAATTTGGATAAAACTAAATTTATGGTATTTGGGAATCGTAGACTAGATAATGAACTTCAATTGAAAATTGAGGCGGCGGCCGCTCTGGCAGCAGCCATGCCAGGGGCTGGAGGGGCCAAATCTGAAGCCAGAGGCAACGGCCCTCTGCCTGGAGGAGGAGGGCTCATGGAGGAGATGAGTGCCCTGTTAGCAAGGAGGTAGCGACACATCATATATTACTCTTCGATTCAGTACGTCTCAAAATAGGCACTTGAGTCATATGAATGAATTTCAGATCTTGTTTCATATACTACAGAAAAGTGAAACTTGACACAGTTGCCATACAGTAGATTTAGCAAACCCCAATGTTGGTCGCAATGGATTTTGTTGTGCCACCTGAAGAATAAGTTCATGTACTCATCACTCTCACTATTCCTCAGTATTATGAGATGATATGTAGTAAAATCGTAATTTAAATGCACTTTGTTGCTGACAGAGAAGTATCACTGTAAGATCTAGAGAAATCTAAGGAATTTAGGTTTTAAAAATGTGGAGTTCAGGAGGAATTGTGTGGTCTGTGCTTTATGATATTAACATTAAACATGATGATATGTTTTTAAAAATAGCAACTGTTTTTCAGAAATAATTCTGGACTCTGTCTTACAGGAGAAGAATTGCAGAGAAGGGCTCATCACCTGAACCTGACCAGAGATCAGTAAGTACCATTAGATCCTTCTTGTCTGCTGTATTCATGGGGTAGGACTGGATAAGTCTGACTTCTTCCTACTCCATTCAAGCATGTACTAGGTATAAGCAAATTGATATTGGATTAGCATTTGTTGGATATGTGTAAAATTATGTGTGTTGACATATAAACTGTCTTTACATGCTTGAAAGAATAAATCAAATCAAAATAATAAGCTCATCTTTCCTAAACTTTTATTTCACAATCTGCAGGGCCTGTTATTAATTTAACGCCTGCAATGTACAGTTTCTCCACCACTGTTACTGCACTGTAGTTGTTTCAGCTTGTCTCTGAAAAGTGCAGAGACCAAATTTCAACTCTTTCATAAACAAGTTGATATATTAAACTCCTTAGCCAAGGGTGTGGAGGAACGCAACTCTATATACAAAAATGTTCACAGCACGTCTTCCCTCTGGCTCACTGTGTACTTTGACCAGGAGCTCGGTGTACACAGATGTCCCTGTTCCAGATGTGGCTTCATCGTTGGCATTTTGACCACAACTGGAATATTTTCATGAAACCCAGGGTAAGAACTATTGTTCTGTCTTTTTTGGCTGTTTGTCTGGAGCACTGAAATCTCTACTTTAAAAATACTCAAAGGTGATACACTGTTTCTACAAAACAGCTTGACAAGAAACGATTCTATTTGTTCAGCCAGTAAACTGCAGAAAACTCTTTCAACTACATGAAACATGAGACATATGCTTAAAAAAATGAGAAAGAATTTGTCAGTGAATATTTTAAGTCTTTTTAAATTAAAGGGAACATAACTTATTGATGTGTGGCTTATGTATTATTTTACATTATGTTGTATTTTTCGTTGAGGAAAATTATGAATTTACATATTTAGTTTCATTTCCAATTCAGTA